AACTCCCTTCTCTCTTTTTTATGTTCACTTACTTTGTGGAGAAGCTGCCTGTTTTCTAAGTTTTATGCCCCGGAGCAGCCAGAAACTCGACCTTCTCTATTCTGCCATCTTGGATCTCCCTTTTTAAAATTTTTTGTTTTGAGATGGGGCCTCGCTAAGTTACTTAGGGCCCCCATAAGTTGCAGAGGCTGGCCTCGAACTTGCTATGGAATCATAGGCATGTGTCCCTAGGCCTGGCTGTACCTACTGTCTTTGGAAAGCACTGATCTCCTTTGGCATGATTTAACATTGTGTCTCAAGATAAGGATTAATTACATTTTTTCTTCCTGAGACTTTTTATTTCTCTGAGTCACCTATGTGTTCATTGTGGGACTATGGAAACCAAAAGGCCTCATTCAATTTTAATAATTATGATATTAAGTAAACAAGTAGAAACTCAAAAGGAAGAAAGAACCTAACACATTCTTTCTCTAATGTTTGAAAATAATTAAAAGTATCCAACATTCTTTCTAATCCCCTGGATTACTGTGAATGCCAAGGAAAACAAACACAGAAGACAGTTAAAGACTATAAATCAAATTTTGGTACTGCTTTTAATATGTCATAAGCACATTAATGACTTAGAAAATATAGCATAGATAATAGATTCTCCTATACGCTTAATATAAAAATGCAGTTTTCATTATATATGTACCTATGCCTGTCAGTCTCAAACAGTGATGGTCACACTGGTAGCAGAGGCATTTTAAAGTGATTCATTTCCAAGTCTAGTCTAGAAAAGTTATTATTTTGTGGACCAAGAAACTAAAGAATAATTGTGAATAATTGGAGAAAATGTTCTAAGTTTACGAAAAAATAAATAAATAAAATTTAGAATTGCCCTCATCATCAAGGAGACTGGCCTAGGTCCCAATCCTAGTTCTGGCATTTACATACCAGCTCCCAGTTAGTTGATTCTGTAGCAGTTAACTTTTTTGAACCTCAGTTTCTTAATTTCTAAAATGGGTTGTTAGGTTATTATACAAGGTAGTGAATAGAAGTTAAAATATTAATAACCCTAGTCCTATGCTGTTACTTGTAGTTGTTATGGCACTGTTAATAAATTTGGTTCTCTCTCTCTCTCTTTTTTTTTTTTTTTGGTACTAGGGATTGAACTCAGGGCACTCAATCACTGAGCCACATTCCTCAGCCCCATTTTGTATTTTATTTAGAGTCAGGGTCTCACCGAGTTGCTTAGACCCTCGCTGTTGCTGAGGCTGGCTTTGAACCTGTGATTCTCCTGTCTCAGCCTCCTAAACTGCTGGGATTACAGATGTGTGCCACTACACTGGCCTATCCCTTTTTATTTTTTATTTTGAGCTAGGGTTTTTCTAAGTTGCTGAGGCTGGCCTTGAACTTGCCATCCTCTTGCCTCAGCCTCCCAAATTGCTGGGATTACAGGCGTGTGCCACTGAGTCTGTCTCTTTAGTTCATTAAAAAAAATAATTTTGAGGGGCTGTGGCTGTGACTCAGTGGTAGAGCTCTTGCCTAGCATGTGTGAGGCACTGAGTTTGATCCTCAGCACCACATACAAATAAATAAAATAAAGATATTATGTCCATCTACAACTAAGAAAAATATTTAAAAAATAATAGTAATAATTTTAGAAATTTTACAATAGTGGTGACGCATGCTTTTAATCCCAGCAATTCTGGAAGTCTGAAACAAGAAAATCACAAGTTCCAGAGCAGCCTGGGCAATTTAGCAAGACCCTGTCTCAAAATTTAAAAAAGAGGTAGGGATGTAAAGCACCCTTGGGTTCAATCCCAGGACCAAAATAAGAAGAAAAGAAAATCACAATAGTAATCGATTTACCAAAAACTGTCCTCAAAAAATGTGCAGAAAATTCCTATATACATTTTTACTCAGTTTCCTCTGTTGTTAACATCTTTCATCATTTATGTTACATATGTGACATCTAATGAACTAATATTGGTCTATTGGAGAATGTTCCATGTGCACTTGAGGAGAATGTGTTGTCTACTGTTTTGGTCAGCTTTTTTTTTGCTGCTGTGACTAAATGGCCTGAGCAGCACAACTGTAGAGAGGAGGAAAAGTTTATTAGAGGGCTTACAGTTTCAGATATCTGATTCCATATAAGGCTGGTTCTATTCGGTTCCTCAGGGTTCAAGGTGAGGCTAAACATCATGGCAGGAGAGTGTGGCAGAAGGAAGCAGTTCACATCATCAAAAAGCAGAGATGTTGTGGGGACAGATGAGGCAAGACACTGAAGACAGCAGGAAACAGTTTTATTTGGCTGCAGCCAGGTTCAGAGGGCACAGCTTTTGCTGTAATCAATCAAACCCCTGAACCCCGAGTTAAGGCAATTTCAGAATTTTATACCCAGAATGTAAGGGGAGGGGCTTAGAAGTTCACAGTCTGCAGAAGTTCACATAAAAGCAGTTTTTTTTTTTTTTTTTTCCCACTGTTCTGGGGAAGTTAACCCTCCAAGGACAGTGCCTGAGAAGGGGAGAGCTTCTTCTCTTTCTTTCCTCCCCCTGCCAGCTGTTACCAAGAAGCCCAATTGGTGAAGCCTTGGCTCAAGGCCAGAGGCCTTGTTTACACATTTCTTCAAACTACTAAACTGGATACATGTTTGTGAAAAACTAGTAAGGGGGTTTCCAACACCTGGGGTGCTGATTTCTTCCTGGCCAGTGGCCAAGTAAAACAGGGCAACATGAAAATAGGAAGTTTATCTACATTGAACTCTTTTGTAGAGACTCTTTTGCTGACAGTCCTAAAATCAGCCATGGTGAAGATTTCTGGAGAAGCCCAGTTAAGACTTTTCTGTGGAGAAAGGGGTTGCCACTACAGAGAGAGGAGGGCTGTGGCTGTAGCTCAGTGGTAGAGCACCTACCTTGCATGTGTGAGGCACTGGGTTGGATCCTCAGCACCACATAAAAATAAATAAATAAAGATATCGTGTCCGTCTACAACTAAAAGAAGAAGAAGGGGAGGAGGAGAGGTCTCTATTTGCCAGATATATATATATATATATATATATATATATATATATATATATATATATATCCCAAAGCCATACCCCAATTCCCACCTCTTCCAGCCACACCCTACCACTTCAGTTACCACTCAGTTAATCCCTATCAGGGGATTAATTCACTGATTGGATTAAGACTTTCACAACCCAATAACTTCTCCTCTGAACCTTTTGCATTACATATGAGCTTTTGAGGGATACCTCACATCCAAACCATACTATCTACTGTTGTGGAGCATTCTACAAATGTTATTTTCTTTTTTTTTTTTTTGGTGGTGGGAATTGAACCCAGGTACATGCTACGTACATGTTCTACCACAAAGTATATTACATCCCACGTGTCTCTACAAATATCTTTTAGGCCTAGAGGGCCTAATACTATAAAGTATTACTGAAGTCTTCTTTTTTCTTATTGATCTGTGTAGTTTTATCCGCTATTGAAAGTGGGCCTAGAAATCTCCAACTGTCATTGTTGAATTGTCTATTTCTTCCTTCAATTTGATGAGTTTTGCTTCATGTATTTTGGGGCTTTGTCAAGTGCATATATGTTTATAATTATCCTATCTTCAGTTAATCCCTGTATTATTATAAAATGTTCTTCTTTGTTTCTATTCACAACTTTTATATTGACATCTATTTTGTCTGATATTAGTAAAGCCACTCTGGCTCCTCCACTCCCTCAGTATGAGAAAACACACATATACACACATACACACACGCACACACACACACTGGGGTTTGAACCTATGGCTTGTGCATGCTAGGCAGGCATTCTACTAGAGTTACTTCCCCAGCACTTTTTTTTTGGAAAAAGAGAGAGAGAGGTTTTTTTTTTTTTTTTTTCATATTTATTTTTTAGTTTTCAGCAGACACAACATCTTTGTTTGTATGTGGTGCTGAGGATCGAACCCAGGCCGCACGCTTGCCAGGCGAGTGCGCTACCACTTGAGCCACATCTCCAGCCCAAGCACTTTTTAATTTTATCTTAAGATATAGTCTTGCTGAGTTGCCCAGGTTGGCCTACAATTGAGATCCTCCTGCCTCAGACTCTGGAGTAGTTAGAATCACAGGTGTGAGCTACCACCCCTGGCTCTAGTATGAGTCTTTTAATGCAGACTGATGTTGAAGATGTCTGAGAGATTTCCTAGTCCCATTACAGTTGCTAGCGTTCTCTTCAGTTTGTACCTCATCAGGCTTATTAGCAAGAAGCACATTCTGCCATACATTAAACTCCTTAGGCTCACTTCTGCATCGTTTCTGTTTTATTATTATTATTATTATTATTTTTTAATGTGATGCTGGGGATTGAACCCAGGGCTTTGTGCATGCAAGGCAGCACTCTACTACCTGAGCTATATCCCCAGCCCCTCTGTATGGTTTCTATTATTTATAGCCAGATTAAAATATGGTTTAATGTCCAAAGAAATGTTTTTCCTGATTCAACCCTCCTCGGTTGATGGTTGATGTGGTGTTTTTGTTGGTGACTACAACTTGCCACAAATGTTTGTCTTGGTTTTCCTTGCTGATCTCAATCAGATCATCTACTTTCCAAATATCTGGGAGGTTTCAGTTTGGAAATTCTTCTGTCACCCAAGGCTCTGCTTCTTGTTCCAACTTGAAGGGTTTGGAAATGAAATGCCCAAGAATGTATTCATTTTCTTAATTCTTTGGCACAGAGGACTCTGGAATCATAGCTCAGTGATACAGAATCCAACTCCAGAGCCTATGGAGAACCTTAGGGAGAGTCACAGGGTCAGGAATTTCTGGGCAGAAGATGGCAGAGTGGGCCTGGCTTTCTTTGATTATTCCTTGCAAGTTTTGTTTTCAACCTATTTGTGCTTTTGAATCTAAAGTTTCTTAGAGAAAGAATTTGGTTATTATTTTTTTTTCTATATTTTGTTTTGTTTTACAGTAAATCTCCAGCCCATTTAAGTTACCCAGACTGACCTTGAACTTGCCATTCTCCTGCATCAGCCTCCTGAGTCACTGGTTTTACTGGTAAGTGCCACCACACCTGGCTGGTTAGATCATTTAAAAAAATCTATTCTGCTTCACTGGGGATATAGCTTAGTGGTAGACTGCTTGCTTAGCCTGCAGGAAGACTTGAGTTCAATCCCCCCTGCCCCACCCCCCCAAAAACCATTCTGCTGATCTCTGCCCTTTAATTGGAGAGTTGATCCATTAATCACTTGTATGACAGGGTTTATATCTACCTTTGTAATATTTCTTTTCTATATATCTTTTTGATTTGTTTTTTGAGATGGGGTATTCTTATGTTGCCCAGGCTGACCTCAAGTGTACCATCCTCCTGTCTAAGCCTCCCAAATAACTAGGGTTATAGGCTTGTGCCATACAACTCACTTCTATATATCTTATGTCTTTATGGTTAATTGTTCTGTTTTTCAATTTCTTTAATTCGTTCATTTTTGGTTGTGCTGCAGATCAAACTCAGGAACTTGTTCATGTTAGCAGGTACCATACTGAAAGCAAGGGACAACTTCTAAATGAACCCTGTATCTTCACTTGCTTTTAGCTATTTGTGTTTAGTTGATCTTAAAAATTACTAATTTGGGCCAGGCATAGTGACACAGGCCTGTAATCCCAGGGACTTGGGAGGCTGAGGCAGGAGGATCACGAGTTTGAGGCCCTAAGCAACTTAGTGAGACCCTATCTCAAAAATAAAAATGGCTAAGGTTGTGGCTCAGTGGTAAAGTTCCCTTGGGTTCAATCTCCAGTACCAAACAAACAAACAAACAAACAACAACAACAAAACCCCCTAATTTTGAAGGTCACACAGCTGAGCAATATTTTGTTAATCTTCCATTATCTTTGCTATAGATAAAACACCTCTGATATGTGGATCATAATGCTAATGGTTGCCAAGGTTACTTTTCTAGGACTTGAAGGCCACTTTTGTTGAAACCACTGACTCTTCACTTGGGCCTGTGCAGGTGTTTAGTAGGTGAGCTTTTGATGTCAGATGGCCAAAAGCTTCATCCACAGATCATGTTAAAGCTGTCATTTTCTGGACATGTGATCCTGTGAAAAGCCATGAAGTTTCCTTACAAATGTGCAGATCACTGATTACTTCACCTCCAATCATCTTTACCTATACCTTAAATCAGCCTGTTTCTTTATTTCATAAATATGTCTAAATCCCATCTTCAGAGAGGTGGGTTTGAGTCTTGAGTCTCCCTTTCCATATTCAGCTGCTTTATGAATTCTTTCTCTTTTGCAAAACTCAGTGATTGGCATACTGTGCAGCTGGCAAATAGGCTTGGTTTGGTAACATTATTACTGAACTACCTCCTTAGCTCCTACTTCCTTTTCGTTCTTTCTTTTCTTTTTTGGTACCAGGGATTGAACTCAGGGGTATTTGACTACTACTGAGCCACATGCCTAGCCCTATTTTGTGTTTTATTTAAAGACAGGGTCTCTCTGAGTTGCTTAGCACCTTGTTTTTGCTAAGGCTGGTTTTGAACAGCTGATCTCCTGTCAGCCTCTAGAGTTGCTGGGATTATAGGCATGCGCCACCACATCTGGCCCTAGGAAACTCTTAATTTATCCTTTGCTTTAAAAGTTTTTCTGGAGATTCCTGGCACAGTGGCGCTTACCTGTAATCCCTGCAGTTTGGAGCCTGAGGCAGGAGCATCACAAGTTCAAAGCCAGCCTCAGCAAAAGCGAGGCACTAAGCAATCAGTGAGACCCTGTCTCTAAAGAAAATACAAAATAGGGCTGGGGAATGTGGCTCAGTGGTTGAGTGCCCCTGAGTTCAATCCCTGGTATCCCGCTTCTTCCCCTCAAAAAGTTTTTGCTGGATATGATTCCTTGGTTGACAATCTTTTGTTCCTTTGCTTGTTTTTCAGTCTATATTCTTTCTCATCATATATCATTTTACTCTATTCTGGCATTAAGAGAAATCAGCTTTTAATCTTTTTATGGATCAGTCTTCCATGACGAATCATTTCTCTCTTGCTTTTTTTTTTTTAATCTTTATTTATTTATTTTTATGTGGTGCTGAGGATCAAACCCAGTACCTCACATGTGTGAGGCAAATGCTCTACCATTGAGCCACAAACCCAGCCCTCTCTTGCTGTTTTCATGTCACTCTTTTTTTGTCATTTTCATTGTTATTTACAGTTTGATCATGATGTGTCTAGATTGCTTTGAGTTTATGCTACTTGGGATATGCCTCTTGGCTGTGGAGATTATTATTTTACATCAAATTTGGGAAGCTTTTGGCCATTATTTCTTCAAGTACTTTCTCTGCCACTTTCTCTCCAGTCTTCTGGGACTCTCATTGTACATATTATGGGGTACTTGATGTTGCCTCAGATCTCAGGCTCTATTCCTTCTCCTCCTCCTCCTCCTCCTCCTCCTCCTCCTCCTCCTCCTCCTCCTCCACCTCCTCCTCCACCTCCTCCTCGTTTCTCAGGCTGGATAATCTCAATTGATGTATATTCATATTCACTAGCTTTTTCTTTTGTCTGCTTAAATCTTCTGTTGTGCCCTTCTGGTTAATTTTCCATTTCAGTTACTATACTTTTCACTTTCTAAAATTTCTACTTGGTTCTTTTAATAATAATAATATCTCTTTTTATTGATATTCTCTACTTGGTTAGGCCTGATTCTCATAATTTTCTTTTCTCATACTTTTTTTTTTAGTTCTTCAGACATATAATTTCCTTCTGTTTCTTGGAACATATTTAAAATAGTAGATTTCATGTTTTTGTCTAATAATTCCAACATTTGGGCTCCTAGAGGGACAATTTCTATTGATTGCTCTTTTCCCTTTACATGTCATATTTTCTCATTGCTTTGCATGTTTCATTATTCATTGTTGAAATATACATAATGAAAATATACATAATGTTGCATCTCTAGGTATCAGATTCTCCCTTTCCCATTATTTGTTGTTATTGTCATTTATCTAGTGACTTTCTCTGAAGTCTGTGTTCTTTGGTGAATGTCTCTAGTTTGAGTGTCTGAAGTCTCTAGTTTGTTAGCTTGGCATTAGCTAATAATTAGACAGATATTTTGTTAAATTCCAAGAACCAATATGTCTCCCAGTGTTTGCTGAAGGGCTCAGTGTGTGTGTTTTGGGTCACACCTTCAATACTCAGTCAGAGGTGACAACTTTGCCTTAGCTTTCACTTTCTGCTTGTACCAAATCTTTAGGTCAGCCAGATGTTAAAGTGTAGGTTATCTCAGGTCTTTATGTACATAATTTTAGGATATATTCAGAGTCCTTTTCATGTGTTTTGCCTTCTAAATTCCCAGGAATATGTCAGAACTTTTCTTTTTCTTTTCTCTCCCTCTCACTTTCAGAGACCAAGACCTCATATGTGCTAGGCAAGTGTTCTACCACTGAGCTCATCTGCAGCCATGTCAGAGCTTTTTTTAAAAAAAATTAATTAATTAGTTATTTTTAATTAGGTATATATTATAGCAAAATTCATTTTGGTTCTTTGTACACAATTGCAGCACAACTTTTCATTTCTCTGGTTGTACAAGATGTAGCGTCACGCCATATATGCAGTCCTACCTAGAATAATGATGTCCATCTCATTCCACCATCTTTCCTGACCCCATCCCCCCACCAGAGCTTTTAAAAAAATTTTTTTTTTAGTTGTCAATGGACACTTTATTTATATGCAGTGCTGAGAATTGAACCCAGTGCCTCATATGTCAGGCAAGTATGCTACCGCTGAGCCACACCCCCAGCCCGTGTCAAAGCTTTTTAAAACCCCTTTTTAAAACCCCTTCTGGATATCACATTCCCCTGCTATTCATTAGGCCTGTAGTTTGTCCCAGTTGTTATCCACTGACTCAGGCTGACATGATGTTATTAAAGAATTGTTGCTGATTGTTTTTTACAAATAACCCTGGAAAAAAGGCTTTTTGTACCAGGTGAACTCTGAATCAGGTCAATAAAGACAAGGGTTGTTATTGGGCTCTACCAAGGAGATCTCAGGTAAAATAATGATAATTATTTATGAATGGGGCTTTCAAGAAACTTCAACCATATCTTTTCTTTTGCAATTGGTTGTTGGGCAATTCCAGGATGGTAGTTTCCAAGGTGACCCATGAAGCTGGGGAGAAAGGATGAGATAGGGCAACTTAAAATGCCGCAGAGCTCACTGATCTTATTGAGAGTCATGCTTCCCCTGCCCCTCAAGTGCTGGAGATCAAATCCACAGCCTTCCCCATGTTAGCTAGGCAAGTTCTCAACCACTGAGCTATACCCCAGCCCACACATTTTATGAATAAACATTTTCCTTAAATATATTAACATTATGAACTACATTAATGGATATTCTAATATTGAACACTATTGCATTCCTGGAATAAACCTTAAGGAACTTTGTTTTAAGAAGGGAATGGGGGAAAAGTTTACGATAAAAAGGGAAAAAAATAAAAAGAATCTAGGACTGGGAAAGTAGCTCAGTGGTAGAGCACTTGCCTAGGATGTGCAAGGTCCTTGTTCAATCCCTAGCACCACAAGAACAAACAAACAAAAACTAAACTAATGGCAAATTTCAGTTACTTCATTTTTGTTCAGGGCTAGCTTTGGGTTCAGGAGGTGCAAAATCAGCTACTTTTATAATTCTCCTTTTTTGAGCTTTCCCCCCCCACCAAATTGGCCATATCTGAAATCATACAAAAATGACTATGAAAAATTATGTGAATGTTGAAAAGAATGAGTTGTGTACTCTTAAGGAATAAGGAATATAACTTTGTGTAATAACATGGAATATGCCTACCGTATATTGTTGTTATACATATATAACAATATATGGTAGGCACATTCCATGTTATTACACATCGTTACATTCCTTTAAGTTGTTATACATATATATCTTCTTCCACACACACATTAGTAGCTAAATGAATCTAATTTTAAAATTAATTTTATTCCAAATTTTGAGTTAAAACATATTTTACTTAAAATTTATAATTCTTTTTTATTGACTTTGTTTTTACCAACTGAAAGAAAAGCAGATAGTATTTATGTATGCTATGAGTGCTAAACTCTCTTATTAAATATTTACAATTTCAAAGAAGGAAATTGGTGTTCATTAATTAAGGAAACACTAAGCTGGGTGTGGTGGTACAGCCTGTAATCTCAGCAACCTAGGAGGCTGAGGCAGGAGGATCACAGGTTCAGCAACTTAGTAAGCCCCTGTCTCAAATTAATGAAAAATAAAAAGTTCTGGGGATGTAGCTCAGTGATCAAGTTCCCCTGAGTTCAATCTCATGTATCATAAAACAAAAAACAAAAATGTGAAAACCAAGTAGATTCTTATATGCTAACAGCTACAGAATAAACAGGAGTCAACTTTCTGTTATCTGTACTCAAAGGACGCCTTGAACAAACTAAGGCTATTAGAAAAGGACAAATAAGCGTCAGAGTTCCCAGGTACACCCCTGGGAAGGTTTAATGACTAAGCTATTTGGACAAGATGAGTTTATGATTTCCCTACATTTACATGGTAAATGAAACCAAAATTAGAATAGAAGGAAGCATCTACAGTGTTTTCAAAAACAAACCACATGGCCCAGTGCAATTGGACATACCCATGATCTCAGCTCTCAGGAGAATGGTTAAATTGAGGTTAGCATGGGCAGCTTAATGTTACCCTGTCTCAAAATAAAAAATAAAATAAAAGGGCTGGGCATGTAGCTCAGAGGTAGACTGTTCCACACAGACTCTCCTGGGGAAGGTAAGGCAGGGAATTGTCAAAGGGAACTTAAACTTTTTATACTATTTTACTGTTTATGAAGGAGGTTATATTCATATACTAAAGTGGTGATTAAGGGCTGGGGTTGTGGCTCAGTGGTGAAGCGCTTGCCTAGCACATGTGGGGCCCTGGGTTGGATTCTCAGCACCACATAAAGGTAAATAAACAAAATAAAGGTATTGTGTCCAACTAAAAATAAATAAATATTAAAAAAATAAAGTGGTGATTAATAACCAACTTATAAAAACAGAGTTTAAATGAAGAGATGAGAGGGGCTAGTATTGTGGTTCAGTGGTAGAGCACTAGTCTCACATGTGTGAAGCACTGGGTTCAATCCTCAGCACCACATAAAGATAAATAAATAAAATAAAGGTATTGTGTACATCTACAACTTAAAAAAATTAATAAAAAAGATGAGAATGTTTGAGGGGCTGGGGATGTAGCTCAGTTGGTAGAATGCCTGCCTCATATGTACAAGGTCCTGGGTTCAATCCCCAGCACCCCCAACTCCGCAAAAAAACAAACAAACAAACAAACAAAAAAAACATTGAGAATGTTTGAGAAGTCATGAATAGATTTATGAGCTTGTACTGTCAGGAATAATAAAGCATATTTATTCAACATTATTAAGGGACATAGAAAACCACTATAGGTGTCCAAATGGAATGTGAGTGAAACTAAAGAAAAATCATTTAAATTATTTGGATCATTTTAAAATCCATTGAGAGAGCTCTGCCTGACAGCTGTGCCTCAGAAATAGCCATTAGTTTGACCAGTATGCCCAAATTTGTGCAAACTCACTCACTTGTTGGGCAAAGAAAGCAAGTGAATTAAACTTTACTGCCTCAATGGTATAGTGGTAGAGTGCTTGCTTAGCATGGTTGAGGCACTAGTTTCAATCCTCAGCACCACATAAAAAACAAATTTTAAAAAAAGTTAAATTCTTTAAAATTCTTTTTCTCTCTCAGTAACTTAGGGGGAGGGTAAGGCTGACTTTTCTTTACAGATATGAAATTAAAAATTTATTATTGGGGGAGGGGAGAGAGAAAGAAAGAAATTGAGGTTCTCAGAAATAAATTCCAGCATAGATGCCCAGGGAAGACCAGTGTGGTTCTTTCATGAGCCTCTTTCCTGTCCCCAGGAGCACAGCATTGGAGCCTGACACACAGTAGCTCTTGAACTGAACTTTGGATTTCTGAACCTGCAAAGATGAAGAGCAAATTATTAACATTGGCTCCAGCAGGTCTTTGTACCCTTATCACCATTCCTTCGTATCATTTCTCCCCTCTATTTTTGTATCCCACTGATTGTCCTATGAATAGGACATGCACTCTACCTAACATGCCCATTTCCACTTCTGATGAACAGTTTTTTTTTTTTTCTTTATGGTACTGGAGATTGAACTCAGGTCCCTGTTGTGGGAGCAAGCACTTTCCCAACTGAGATATATCCCCAGCCCAGATGAGCACTTATTTTTTTGTATGTTTGTGGATCCAATTTAATATCACCTGTTAAAGAAGGCCATTATTTTGGACTTGCACGAGACCCCAATAGGTCCAATTAAAAATCAAATTGGATGGCCCATACTGTAGTGCCAGTGTCACAAAGTTGTTATCTGATGGTCCCAGAAATTAGGAGAATGAAAGCCAGATTTTCCAAACAGACCAATCTATGCAACAGTGAAATTTCCTCTGCTTTAATCCTTATACCCTTTAATTCTTACAAAAAGTAACCTGAAGTTTTCTGATGTTAACCAATCAGTTGTTTTGTACTTTTCTTTCTCCCTGTCCCTACCTTAGAAGGAAAGTAACTTTGAAATGACCCATGCACTTTTTGTCTTTGTTTTTGCTTTTTTCAGGCCTTTTCTGTCTGTAAATCCAATCTCTAAAAATACAACAATAACCAGAATCAAAACAACATTTTCTACTCAGTCCATTGGAATGCTTACTCTATTTTATGGAATGAAATGTTATCCAATTCTAGAATCGTAAAATAAAGTCAATTAAGATCTTTAAATAAATTGTTTTAATTTTGTTCTTTGATACCCTGCATCTCTGGAGCTCCCTCTGACCATCTCCTGGGCAGATTTATTGTTCTCTCATTGTGTTCCTGAGTATTTTATCTCTATATTTTTTTCTCATATATTATAATTTTTATGTTGGCCCACCCCACTGGCTGTGATTAATTTGAGAGAGCAATAGGATTTATTTATCATTTTATTCCCCAAATCTAACATGTACTGGCATTTAGCAAATATGCAGTAATTTTTGAAAATGAAATCATTAATGTGACTTCTACCTTAAGCATAATCTGTCACCATAGAGTACAAACAAGGACATTAATTGACTAATGATTTGGCTGAGCGTACAAATTAAAATTAATATATTTTAGAAAAATATTTTTATACTTTTATGGTGTTGGAAATTTCATGCTCTTTCTCTAGTGTTTCTCCAAGTACAGCATCAGTGTTACCTGGGAGCTTGTTAGAAATGTAAATTCTTGGGCTGGGGATGTGGCTCAAGCCATAGCGCGCTCGCCCGGCATGCCTGCGGCCCGGGTTCGATCCTCAGCACCACATACCAACAAAGATGTTGTGTCTGCCGAGAATTGAAAAATAAATATTAAAAAAAAAAAAAAAGAAATGTAAATTCTTGAACCCCACCTGAAGACTACAACTTATAAGTACCGCGCGCTAACCGATTGCGCCACTGGAGCTCCGTACCTGAAGACTACAAAATCAGAAGTTCTGGGCATAGAGTTCAGCAATCTGGTTCTGATGCATGCCAAAGTGTGGTTCTGGAACCAAATAAAAATACTTAGAATCTTACACTTGGTCACCAACTCCTTTCATTTAATCATATAAAAATCTTCTTCATTTTTTATACACAAGACAATACAGTTTTCTAATTTTTTTTGTACCAGGTCCCTTGGTTCTTTTTGTTGTTGTTTTAGTGCATTTCAGTTGTAGAACAATAGATTTCATCATGGCATATTTGTATATGCAAATAATATACATTGATCATCCACATGCCCTTAGTATTCTTGAGTATCTTTTTTTGGTGGGGAGAGGTACTAAGGATTGAACTCAGGGGCACTCAACCCCTGAGCCACATCCCCAGCCCTGTTGTATTTTATTTAGAGATAGGGTCTCACTGAGTTGCTTAGCACCTCGCTTTTTGTGAGGCTGGTTTTGAACTCGAGATCCTTCTGCCTCAGCCTCCCGAGCTACTGGGATTACAGGCACGCACTACCACACCCTGCTCAATTCTCTGTATTCTTAATTTCTGTTCTCTCTATATTCTTTCCACCCTTTATTTTTTTTTTTAAAATATTTTAGTTGTAGATGGACACAATACCTTTATTTCGTTTATTTATGTTTATGTGGTGCTGAGGATTGAACCCAGTGCCTCATACATGTGAGGCAAGCGGTCTATCGGTGAGCCACAACCCCAACCCCTCTTGCCACCCTTTCTTTACTAAGCTTAGGAGAAAGGAAAGATTTAAACTGAAAGAGTACATGGCAGCTGGGAAGCAAAGAGAGACAGGAAGGGACCAAGTTCCCAATATCCCCTTCAAGGGCATAATCCTAATCACCTAACCCATCACTTCCCAATAGCACCACATGCTAAGGCACCACTAAGCCTTTAACACATGAGTCATTGGGGGACATTTATCCAAACCATATTGTGCAGTGATAATTCAAAATTTCCATGGACTAAGATTTTAGTTCCTTAAGTGAGGGTTTTTCCTGTTTTGACCTTGAATATATAAGGCATAAGATGTGGTTAAGAACATAGTCTCTGGACTTAGACTATTTGAGTTCAAATTTAGGCATTGTCTCTAGGTGTGACCTTGGGCAACTTTTCTGAGCCCTAGTTATTCATCCATTTATCTCATGGCAGTTCTATGAAGATTAAATGCTCTTAGAATCATACATAGCACATAATAAGTATTATGATTACTATTGTTCTTGGAGATTTATGCAGCAATTAGAATTGTGTTGGGCTGCAAGTAAGAAAATTCTGGACTGTATTAGTTGCCTATTGCTGCTGTGACAAATGATCACATAAACAGTGGCTTAACATGAAGTTTTTATGTTACAGTTCTGGAGGTATGTTATATATTTGTTTTGTTTTCATCCATGGCTGCTGCTCATAACTCCCATAGCTCTTGTTATTTCCTAAATGACTAGAAAACTAAGGTTTAAGTATTTGGCCTTTTATCTTTGGTTCCTTAAGCAGCTTTGAAACAGCTTTAGAATGATAAAGATAAGATAAAAGATATCTTTTGTTATAGCATTGGGGCCCTTTGTGCAAAATTCTGTTTCTGATCTTCTCGTGTCCTCCTTTACCTGCTCCTTTTTCTTCTTAAACAGGTCATAGAAACTAGAATTTCTCTTTCCTGTGGTGAGTCATCAAAAGGAAAAATATAATTTTCCCCTGCCTTTCTGTGGTGAGCCGTTCCTATAGACCGTGGCCGCCATTAGA